AAGAAAATTGCATTTTTTTATAAAATAGTGATTTAGCTGTCTCAGCGCATTCCAGAGAATTAACTATACAAGAGACTCATTACCTTTGAAAAATAGTTTTAATCAAGTTAATTAGTCAGAGTTATGTAAACCAATTTTAACAATTAATTTAAGCATTTTTAAATGAATTAATTTATTCAGACATTTTTACCACTTCACTTTGAACAGTCCTCCAGTTTCTCACAGAGAACAGATGAACAACAGTCAATTCCAGAGTGTCAAAACAACTACATCACTAATGTTTTTGGACTGAGAGGGAGCTGACGTACCTGCAGTAATGTGATTAGTCATATCACTCTTTAGGCACTGATCAGAAGCGAAGCCAGAAAAATGGGTCAAATGAATTTCTCATAGTCTTTTGTCCCACATGTTGCAACATCCTCAATTCTATTAAGTAACTTCTTTTATCTTTAACATAATCTCCACTGTATTTGAGTGGATTCCACTCATTTTAATCAAACCACTTGTTGTTTTTTAATTGTTATTAGTGCTGTCCTGTTTGCTATATGTTGAACCAAAGGCAAATGTGCACCCTGGGTTGACAATACACAGTTAGTCTCCTGATTTCTATCTGTCTTCACCAGGTGATTTTAAAACATGCAGTAGAACACCAGCAATAAAGGAGAGAACAGTTTCTTAAAATAAAGGAATATAATTTTACCACTGAAAGGAATACTTCCTTTTAAAGTATTTCCCGTATATCTCTAATATTTTAACCAACCATTGGCTGTTTTCTAGCTGCACTCGGATCTCTCTCGGTGTCATTTCACCCTATTTAGTCTAAAATAGCCTAAATAGGGTGAAATGACACGAGCTGCTTAGAGATTGGGTAGAAAAGAAGGGCGGGGTTACCAAATCAGACACACCTCTGAGGTGAGTGTGGAGGGAAAGTCACACAAGGAAGCAGGAAGTAAGAACAGTAGTGAGAAAGGGAAAAAACACATGTGACAAAAGCAAATGTAAGAAGTTAAAGAATGACTTCTCCATAACCAAGAAATGTGGGAATGAATGGCAGCTGCAGGGACAAATGATTAACTGTTTGGTTTCCGTGGAGATTCTGTGACAGACAGAAGTCACAGGAGTAACAGAAAAGTAAGTATTCTTTATGTTTGTCACGCTGCTCACACAGACACTTGTATTTCACTTGTCCAGTTTTAGATCTGAGCAGGTTCTCAGTCACTTTTCACATGTTCAATCCTAAAAAGGCTTCTTCAGTTCTACTTGACATCCTGGTATTTAGTCCTGACCCAACTGAAAGGACATTATATTCATCTGGGTTGTGGTATAAACAGGGCTCACTATGATGCACCTGACATGGTCAAGAGGTCACGTAGTTTCTCCAAGCTGACATAAAGGGTTTTTTCTCCACTCCTCTCAAACAATCTGTGGCCAAATATGTACAATTTTATTCTTCAAAAATGAAAGTGTTCTCAGGGTGCAGAATATCACCTCAGGCCATGGTCCTGGCCTGAGAGCCTGCATCACAACATTGTACTGAAGCAGATAAGCAGATAAAGTAATGAAAGAAAACACAGTTAGTCCATGCACAAAACAAGTTTGTTTTGTGTTTCAAAAACGTTTTATATTTATGGCTGTAAACATTCTGTCTTCTTCTGCACATGTGGCATAGAACCACTGACTGTCTGTCTGATGGTGGTGACATTTAAACTGCAATGAGAACTACCACACAAAAGACAAACCTTGGTAAAAAAAAAGATGTTTTTACAGAAAAAAAAAAGCCTGTCAAGTTTCTAAACTGAACTGCAGTCTCCAGTCACATATGCTTTTATACTTGTTTTGGTTGTTGTCAAATTCTATTAATTTATCTCTGTTGTTGAAACTGTTGTTCACTTTGATGGATGTTTATTAAGGTAATGGAAATCTGATAAAAAGCTGATGTAATTTCAAAGATTGAAATCATCAGAACATCGGGGCAGTGGTTGCTAAGGGAGCTGACTTGAGTCCGGAAGGTTTCAGGTTTGAGTCCACCAGCTGCCAAGTTACCACTGAGGTGCTCTGGGCATGGCACCATCCCCACACACTGCTCCCCGGGCAGATTAAAGCTGCCCACTGTTCACTTTGGTGATGGGTTAAAAGCAGAGGTCACATTTGGTTGTGTGCTATGGTGTGCTGTGTCGCAATGACAAGGAGTTCACTTTAGTTTTTATTTATTTTTTGTATCATGTAGTAGTGCTGTAGGTAGTACTAAACTAAAACATGAAGGAGTTAACAAGAAATCAACTGGAAGAAATCAAGAAAATACTTAGTAAGTTAGTTAGTACTGTAGATGTACTGTAGTCCAGGTAACCACAGTTCAAAAGGTACCAAGAATCAACAATTCTGTATGTTTACTATATGACACATTTACCCCAAATGTGTGCAGGTATCAAGTGTGGACATTTTTTCAGGACCAAAACATACCGCTGCCACTGTTAAATCTTTACTGTGGACATTCTTCTTCCCTGACCTTTAAAAAAAATGTTTTCAGTGTCACTGAAGTTTATGCAAAAAGAAACTTGCTGTTAATTTTTTAAAACTTTGTGCACAAGTTTCAGCTAGAACTAGGACGGAGAACGATTTGTATGTTTTCCAACCCCACAGGTTTCACTTTCTCTGCACTCACTCTCATTTTCTATTTCTTTTAATTGTTTGCCAAAACCCCTGCATCTGTTTTTCATTCTATCTTACCTTGTCTTTGTCTTCACTTCTCCCCTGCTTCATTTCTTCAGGGCCATGGATGGAGCCTCTGGAAAAGTCTGCTTCAGCTGCTGCTGTTGACAGAATCAGGTTTTCTCCTCCCACAGGGGAAAGGAAGTGTCAGGATGGGGAAGAGACTAAGGATGGTTGGAGGTCTCACATTAATAATCCCATTCATACACACACTCACACACATATGCTCATACACAAATATGCAAATCACTATTCATAACCAAGTATCTCCTTATGTGCTGACAGGAGCTGAAGAGACACGGAAGAAAAGAAAAATGGGTATAACGTTGGACACAAAGCTGCGTGTTTGAAACATCTCTCCAAATATTGTTCAATGTACAAAAATACATTAAGATATTTTTGTATGATTTCCAGAGAGTTTGCCTATAAAATATACTGTATATGAGAATGGAGAAGTCAATTTGCATGTTGTTATTTGCACAGACTGCAGGAAAGAGTTTTTGTTTTCACCAAAACACATCAAGCTCTAAATACCATCTCTGCAACCAGGCAGGGTTTTTTTGGAAGCTTCAAATTCAGGTCAGACGCCCGTCTTCCACTGGACATAATCATCAAATGAATTGTGAGTGACTGTTGACTGAGGACCACGTCTTCGAGTTTTAAAGCAACTGTTCTGCTCACGTGCCTTTGGTAAAATGTCCGCCTTTAACATGACTGTGTCAACAGGAGAGAGCCACAATGTTTGGAGGACCAACAAAACGAAGTGGTGTGATTTCTGAGTCCAGTATTTTCTCCCATCTGATTGGAGAAATCCTGACTAGACACACCCTGACCTGGTGAGTTTTTCCTGAATTTGTAAACATTTAGCCACATGAACTGCTCCAGATGTTCAGCCTTGTTGTCTTCAGGTCATACTACAGATTTCTGAAAAGATTTTAAAAAATGTAAATATAAATTTAAATGAGTGTTTTGGGTCATCATACTTTGTTGTTTAATTCTCTCTTATCTTTCATTTTCTTGAAGACGTGTGAAGTGTAGTGTCCATATGGCTGAAAATCAAAATCAATTATCCTGTTTGCGAAACCTAACTACTGCTGATTGAGTAAAATGTCAAAAAACCTTTTCTACAGTTTCAATATATTTTTGAAGGAATATCTAAAAACTATAGCTGTGATCTTCGAAGAAAAAGTCTTTGCGAGGATGAGCTGATAATTTTGCTTCATTGCATTTCCTGTAACAAAGACGACTCCAACTGACCTGTGCTCGAGTTAATCATAAACTGGTCTTGTATTAGCTTTTTTATTAAAATTCTTTGTGATGCTACATAAAGACTGGCTCAGTCCAAGGTTCCCACGCATCGTTAAAGTCAGTCTTTTATTGATTATGATTGCACCAGAGAATTAATCTTAATGTAAGGAGCCAGTTGGTTGGCTCCTAGTAGAATGGAGGACGATCATTCACGGTCACAGTCATCGATCCAATTAGTTTAATTGAACCTAATGTAGAGCGGGAGGCCAAAACAAAGATTAATCCTTGGCATCTACGAACCCAAAGGAAATACAGCTCATATGTTTTTCTTAGCTCCAGTCACAGGCTAAACTAACTCACACGGAACAGCAGAGAATAGACTTGCACTCTGCTCATTTCTGCTCTGCTCCCCCCCCCCTCTTCAAGGTAAAAATATGCAACTTCGAAAAGGAAGAGAAGGAAGTGGTTGGTTCAGCANNGTCCTAATTTTTGTGTTTTGAGGTGACCAGTGCTGCTTTAACTGAGGCTGAGGAAGAAATGAACTGCACGGCACATGTGAATGTCTAAGATCCTTTAACTGTGTGTGTAATTTTAAACATAAAGGCCCAAACAGGACACATCTGCAAGTCATTTATACAAAAATAATAAGCCAAGCGTTCACACAATGCTGTGAGTGTGAACTGAACCAAGCACATGAAGAGAATATTACATCCTCTCCGCTCCTTTACAGAGAGTTAAATATACAGTAGGTCAAACACTAGTGTGTCGGCCACAGTAAGTGTGAATTGCCCCCGCCTCCACACTGGGAGAAAATAACTTCCACACGTTGTCATATTTTTCTCCTACCTGTCATTTCGTCGCTGCCTGACATGATGGAAGCTAATGAAGTGTCGCAGCGGTGAAATACGGCAGGCGTGGATGAGAATCTGTACGATGTGTGAGGGAGGGAAAAAATGCAGCTGAAGGAAAAATTCAAAAAGTGACATGTATCAGGAAGGAAATATTGGAGGTGGAACATGTGACAGAGGTCTTGATGGTAGTCCAACAAACCAAGCCTAGTGGAGAAGATGAGGATCAACCTCAACAGGGCTCGTTGTTATAGGCCGAGTGAATATTATATTGATGCAAAATGTAAAGTAATGCATTATATAGGTGTTTGGAAAACTATGAACTGACCATTGGTTCACTATCACACTATTTATAAGAAAAATAGTTATACATGCAAATATTATGCAAATGTATTAATATTATGAAATATATTTGATAGAGAAGGTGCAGGACACTGCAGAGTGGTCATGATTAATCATGATTAATTGAGATGAATCAACATTCCTAAATATGACAAAAACGTTTTTTCTCTATATATTCCTGGAACAGAACATTTTTGATTATAATACTAAAATATAAACACTTAGTGACACTCTGTACTCTCAGTGTCCTCTCTCCTCTGTCTCTTTAATTATTGAGAGTGAGCTGTTATATTCAGCAGTTTGCAGCCCAGTCAATCATTGATCAATTTACTGTAAATGCATGTATTAAAAAAATAAGAAAAAACACTCAGAACATCAATCCCATCACATCTCTGTGAGGCAGTTCTAAGAAATGGCTGCATTTATGGGATTGGAATACATCAACGCTTCAGTGAATGCCTCACTGTAACTGTCATGGCTCTATTCTCTACCATTACCATCATTATTAGCATCACATCAACCGACTCTCACCTGTTTTTCTCTCTCCATCTCTTGTCTTCTCACAGCAGCCTCGTTCAGATACAATCAATACCTGATGAATGCGTTTCACTCCTCAGCCTTTGTGTCAAACACAGAGAAACGAGGCAGCTTTTTATTTCATTGTACTTGAAGATATGATGTTGATTTCTGTTGCTTGAATGGCTAGAAGAGGCTTTGGTGGGTCACTGGTGTTAATGTGGAAAACAGAATTCAAATGTTTCTTGTTAATGTGGAAAACAGAATTCAAATGAGAATTCTCATTTAGAGTGAAACGTGGTATTTTCTAGTAGTGAATATTTATGCTATAGTTGTAGTGGCAAAAATGACACACAAGAGGGGAAAAGACGATATCACTTATGTGATAAACAACCACCCATCTATGAGGAGGAGGCCATACTTTGTGTTTTTGTCTAGACCTAGGAATAGATTCCTTTATTATTCAGAAATGTTGCAAAGTCCCAGCCTTAAGTTTGTTCACTGTCTCACATAATGGCGTGCCAACTAAACCACAATGTCAGTTTGCAAACTATGGATTCAAATAAATGATAAACCAGAGGCTGAACTTTCCAGGGAAATGTAAACTGACAGTAGTCTTAATTTGACAGAGACTTCACTTCTTTCTTCAAGTCTTTTCTGACTCTGAGCTCTGTCCGCTGGGCCTTTGTTAAACTGTGTTAATTGTTTAATCTCATCTCACTGAACACGACACTGATTGTGCAGTTCCGTTACTATTTACCTGCCATTGTGGAACCTATGGGCATCAGCAGCAGACCTGCTTTATCCTGCAAAAACCTCAGTTCTGCCGAGCGAGCAGCAATTAGTGTGTGGTGGGCTCAACAATAAGAGTAAAATGCAACGCTGACATGTTGTGCTTATGGCGGTGCTTTTCTTTTTTACCTTTGGAAGTTCTTCAACCTTTGTATTATTTTTAAAATGCCTCAAACTTTTACTAATTGGAGGAAGAATTGTATAAATGATCAGTGCCTGTGGCAGCAGCCGGCCCGAGGTAGGGTCATAAATCACTCCATGAATTACCTAGAAGTACAGACCGCATACATCAGTTGATGAGCTCTTTTCTTCTCTTTCTCTCATAGGGTCTGATTCAGCAGCAGCAGCAGCAGCAGCAGCAGCAACATGGATTCACATAAAAACAATGAAGGTGAAATTATGCTCTGATTGGATTGCACACTTTCCATATAAAATCTTAAACAATGTGTGGGATTGTTATGATGGATTGTGGCTAAAAAAGGAGGCCAACATAAACTGCACAAGCTTTTCAACAGTATTGCAGTTAAACAGTCAGACTGTGCCCTGGAGTGCCACCTCGACACTGTCACATTGATTCAAATACATTAGACATGGTAAGAAGTTTTGTTTTCAACCACAGAAAAAGGTTGATTCTAAAAAACAACTTTTGTGTTTTTGTCATTTATTTCCTTTTAACGTTCTCTTGTGACTTCCTAACACCTGCTGATGGCTGTGCTGCTGCAGAGGAGTATGGTGTTGGCAGCAGGAGAAGAATGGAGGCTTCCTGCTTGACGCAGCTTTGTGTGGGAGTGATGCTCTTGTTATCGGTCAATTTTTCGGCAACCGATAATTTGTGCAACCTTAATATGAAGGCCAATGTCATGAAAATGAATATTGATACCATTGCAGTGAGAAACCAGGAATCCAGATTTTTCCACTGTAGTGTACAACAATTCGTGGTGCAGCTGGAGGAATCTTAGAATAAATCTGAGCTTCTAAATGTAACAAGTCATAAAATATTATTTATATTTGGATGGTGGTGTGTTACTACTGAAGTTCATGAAGTTAAATGGACCAAAATAAATCCACATTATGAAACATTAGACTTTTGGTCTAATATTTCAGAGCTTTTCTGGGAAATCTGTAAAATCTCACAGACCAGGTCTACTGGCTACAGGTAATCTGTTGGGCTCCAATTTGTCTCCACAAACACCTCCACCAGGGAGCTGTAGCTGTAATGATGGCTGATGGAATTACAGTGAAAATATTGATCTGTGGTCCACTGAAACGCCGGGCAGGCCTCCATCACGGCGGCCAGCTGGAGTTGGGTTTCAAGGTCTGTTTGTGTTCCTGGAGAGCACGAGAGGCCGCGGAGGACCACCAGTGGTGGGATTACATAACGCATCGGTTGGACAAGGAAATCTGGATGATTGGGTTACATACAGGAGGCTGCTGGTGTTTTAATTCAGACAGGAAATCTTAACTCCCGTTCATTTCCTTGTTTTCAGAAAACTCCAATCTTTTATGGCCTGTGATGTCATCGCTGTTTTACGTCCTTGGATTCCATCTGAAAAATAGTTTTGCTTCCATGCAAACTCTACATGCATTCACAGTTTGTGTGTGTATTCGATTGCAATCATAATATTTTTTACCAAGCTCTGTCCCAGTGGTGTCATTTCAAGTCTTTAGGACAATTATGAGGAGTTGGCTACAAGACAATTAAGTAACTGTTAATTTCGATTTTCTCCTGACACATTTACGAGGAAATGCTCATTGAAACAACCTGGCCCACAGTTAGAGGAGGACTGAGTCATGGCTGCAAGATCTTTTCCAGCTTTTATTTATAGCTCTTTTTACTGCGCATATTATCCCCATTTTTATTGTTTTATGCCCTTAATAAAAAGAACACACAGAGGGAGTCACTATTTTGCCGGCTTTTAATGTGATTATTCTTTACACCTCTTGCATAATTGCGCGCAAAGAGAGAGATGAATAAAACTTCAAAGCATCGCAAATATAATCTGCAACAACTTGTTTTTCTGAGGGTCTGATTTCAGTCAACTCCACCCACAGCTGCATCCAATCAGGATGGGAAGTAGGGATACAGATAAATATGTGCCCATGGTTCCAGGTTATCTGAGGCCAGAGAATTCTCCAGAACGGTGCCTTCTGATTCTGACTGAATGGATTTGATGCTGCAGATGTTTTTATTAGTCCATCATTCAAAGACAGTTGTACAATTTTCAACACAAAGTGTTGAAGATTTTCTTTTACAATTTACAACAGTTAAAATGATTTAAAACTAACACCCATCCCACGCAGCTCTGTCGTTATCTGAAGTATCTGAATGGAGTTTGTAGTCAAACTCTGCGCAAACTTATTGCTTCACATCCAAAT